TTTTAAACAGAAATGTCCGGTTTAAATTGTCGAAAGCTTTCTCTGCATCAAGAAATATTAAGACAGCTTGTTTTTCATTATGTTGCTCCAAGTACTCTAATACATTAAGAACATTTATAATATTGGCTCTTAGGTTAAAAAAAAATAAATCTTCATGGATAAAATCTTGTAAAACATTTTTCAGCCTTTCAGCTAAAATTGTTGTGAATATCTTATAATCATTACTGTATTCAGTAGTGATATTGGCCTATAATTTTTTGGCAAAGTCAAGTCCTGTCCTTTAGGAATCAGTGCTATATATGTCCCTGTCCAATTATCCAGTATCTTTCCATTATCTAAAATGGAGTTCATCATTTTTTGCAAAGGTAATAAAAGCTCATCTTCAAAATCTTTATAATAAGAAGGCAATAAGCTATCTGGGCCAGGGGGATGCCATTTATCCCATGGTCTAAAATTTACTTTTTATATTTCATCTCCCAATTTCAGTACATTAAGCAGGTTCAAAGGCAAAAGTATAAGCCAGCCAGGCTGTTTTTGGTTATTTGGTAATTTTCTCCTGTGGATTTTTCTATGTTATTAAATTACAGTCCTTCCATTAAATTATTATTAAATTAAATTAAATTAAATTAAGGATAATAATGAACTCATCCAACCTGTTACAGAAGGGCAAAGATTGCTAGAGTACTCTTTCATTCTGACACTAAGGAGGAGAGCCATGTTAGTCTATGGAAGCATAAAGGAGCCTGGAAACATCTTTTCTGACTAAACACATTTTATTAAAAAAAAAATTCAGATCTGATTAAATGAGCTGCAGCTCATGAAAACTTACACATCTTAATAAAATGTGTTAGTCAAAAAAGGTGCTCCCAAACTATTCCTGATTTCCTACCAATAGTCCTTCAACTAGCCAAGGGGCTTTTGTATGGGAAAACCTTTCAGTCAGGATTAAAATAGCCTGTTTGTTGTAGTGGTTGACAGATTGAGTTAGAAACCAGGGAAGTTCTAGTTTCACCATAAACTTTCTTCTAGACCTCAGATTGTGGACATTGCAGGAGGAGAGCCGGGTTAGTCTATGATGGCAAAAAATCAGGAGTCTGGTAGCCCCTTTTCTGACTAACACATTTTATTAAGAAGCATAAGCTTTCAGGAGCTGCAGCTTCCTTCATCAGATGCAGCTCACAAAGGCTTATACCTTTTACTAAAATTTGTTAAGAGGAAAAGGGACTACCAGACCCCGGATTTTTTACTAGGCATCCCATCTACAAGAGAGGGATATTATGTGTTATTCAAGGATTTTTGTAATGTTTAAATAATACATCTAAAGTGCTTTGAACTCACGAAAAGCATTATGTTATAAAAGTATTATTAAGCAGGTGATGCTTTCTTCGCAAGGAGATGAATTTCTGGTGGCCACCATTCAAACAGCTCTAAAAGAGAGCTCCAGAATGGCTGGCAACTTCCTGCCATTCTCTTTTCCACATCTCATGGCCTCTGGAAGAAGAATAGTCCTCAGAGGTCATTTTGCACCTTGCTCTACATGAAAAATGGTTGTGGACCACTTCTTGTCAACCATTTTGATATTCAAACTATGCGGCACATCCTAACGGTTGTGGGTGTCCTTTGTGTGTGTGGGGGGGGTTCTTCATAATTGACACAGAGTCCCAGTCATCCCAGTCTCTCTCTTAAGGGTCCGATTGGGTTTGCTGACACTGTCAAACGCTTTCTTGATTTGGAAATTCATTTTTCTTCTCCATATGTGGCTTGGTAGAATGTGGAAAAAGAATAGAATAGCACAGGAACTTTTTTAAAAATAACATTTGAACAAAGAATCAACCCACTTTTATTATGTAACTCAAAAAGAGTTTTATAAGAAATTACATCTCAGCAGCAAACAGTTTATGGCTAAAACAGTTGCCCAGCAACTGTTATATGGGATACAACTTGGCCCATATACAAACTTAAGGGCTTCTGAAGCAGTTCAATCTAATTTTCTTAGGACTCTGTTTGGTACCCCAAAATGCACCCTTAACGCAGTCTTGAGGCTTGAGGCTAATGTGCCAAGCATTAAGGCCCAGGCCTGGACCAGGATTTTAATCTCAGGTCTCAGAACCATGTTGGACCCTTCTGGCCTGATGCCTCTGCTGTTGTCAGACAGCTACCAATCTCATTGGCACCATACTTGTACAGAAGAACTTTGCAGCCTTGGCCTCTCTCCAAAATATTTAACACCAAAATGGTATCACCAGTGCTCCTGAATTCTACCGCCAATTGTTACATAGCCGCAAGCCCCCTACTGCGGGCTATCTATACAATCTAACCCTAAGCAAAGATAGATGGGCCTTTTCCAGAGCCCACTTTGAGGCCCTCCCTTCAGCACTGCTGGCAGGAAGATTTCATGGGACTCCTTATTTAGAGACTTTGCCTTTGTGGATCCAGGGAGGTAGAAACTCTTGCTCACATCCTTTTACGGTGTCCTTTTTATGATGTCCCAAGACGTGCTCTAACCTCTCCATCTCCAAATTTGAGGGCTGTACTGATAAATTTTATGCTATTACTTTTTAATGGATGCTGACTCAACACTCACATACCAGGTGGCCAAATATCCTTATTATGTTATACAGTTGCACAAAACTTTTAATTAGTTATGTTGCTTTACTATTTTATTGTTTTCCTTCTTCCCTGATAATAAATTTTTGTGTTGTTTATTTTTACAAAGGCTGGTCAAAGACCATAATAAATGAATGAATGAATATGAATATGAATTTGAACTTGAATTTGAATTTGAATTTTAAGGTCCCTTCAAGAATGTACATTTGGTTAGCTTCTTAGGGACTTCTTTTTACTCTCATAGCAAGATGACTCCCAGTAATATATATTGTGTAGGCTACTAATATAGCCAATAAATGGCATTTTGGGGGTGGGGGGAGTGGGTTTGTTTCAAATGGATTTTAATTTTATTGTGTATTTTATTCTTGTTCCCTACCCAGAGTACCTTCTGGTAGATGGACAGCCATAGAAGTTTGCTTAATAAATAAAACAAACAAAAATCTTTTCCAAAACTTGTTCCTGTGACAGAGGAATGGGGTTAGGGGGTTAAGACTCTGAGCTTCCCTCAGACTCATCTTTCTACCCACAGATCCCAGTCCTTCCCTTCAGTCCCCTTTTCTTCTTGAATTTAACCTGGGAGGAGGTGCCCTACATGTCATTCTTTGAGTGACAGTTCTAATACTCAATCATCACAGAAAGGTGGAATCTACCTTGAAGTCTGCTGCGGATGTCTTCAGCCCACTTCCTCCTTGAAAGTACACCCGAGCAGCAAGACAGCTGAACTCTAGGACTCACATTTTGGCATTTGATTTTGGCAGAGTAGCAGTCCACAAATGCCTTTCCTAATCTATTTTTCACTCTTTATTATTTAAAAAGTCCCTTACAAATCAAATCCTGTCTCCTTGATACAGTATTTAACCCACTGAAAAGTTTTTGAAATACACAGGATTTTACGTCTGTAATCTAAAAACAGTACAGGGCATTCAATCGTCTGCGCTAGATTGTATCCCCACTTTCAGCTACATCCATGGTATAAGCACATTTAGGCAAACTAATTAAGCGGGTGGCCCATTTAGAGCTCACGGGCACATTCGCAAAATGGCTGCCTTAGGAGATTGACCTGTTCACGAAATGTTGTGATAGTAGCTGGTACTTTATTTTTCAGCATCTATGCTTCCATTTATTTATAATAAAAATCATCTTTTTAAAAAGACGGAAAGGGCTATGGAAAATTATAGCTGAAGAGTAAATGAAGAGATCTTGCACACCGAACTTTTTAAATGATGCATTAGAAATAAAATTCAGGAATGCCAAAGAGATTCAACAGCAGAAAATGTTTGAAACAGTCCAATATAACCAGGGTTATGACTATGGTACCAATCTGGAGCATCTGCAGAAAGGGTCAACAATAAAATGGCAGGCTCAAGCAAGCAAAGCCCACTGATTTTTAAAGTAAGTTGCACACACACACCACACAAATGTAAAAAGAGAAAGGCCTTCAGTCACCCAGTCACGCCCACCATTTTGATGTTGTTGATCCTCCTCCTACAGACTCCCTTAGTAGCAATAGTAGCTTGAAGCCACATTTTTAGTAAGCTCAGAAAGAAATGGCAGATACAGTGTCTATAGGCATAATCTGGCAGCCCTTTTTGCTAGCAAAGTTTCTGACCTGCATCATTAATAGAACCACGATAGACATATGTTCCTCAGGTTCAGCCTTTCTCAGAAGAGGAAAAAAAAATGTTGATTTGCAACCTCTCTATGTGATTGAGGAAGGTTTTCAGAGGCTATAGGGCCGGGCAGACTGGCAAATGGGATATCAAAGGTTTAAATTGTTCCAAGCTCAGTAAAAGTGCTAGAGGATTAAGATTCTAATATTTTGCTATAGGTACAGTATTAATGGTTTTTATAAATGGCCATGGGTACTATGAAATTACCTTCCAGTTGCTGGATTTAGAGGTCTAATTCTGCCATGTTTCGGATAGAAATGTATTTGGTAAGTCATTCTTTTCAACCTCAAATTACAGATTAGGAACGTTAATTGTGTACCTCTTGCTCTACAGAGAAAGTAAAGGAAGTATTTTTAAATGTGTTTCAAAGTGCTGTAGAAATCAGTACAGTATGTTGAGTTTCATTAACTTCCAAGAAAACCATTCTTTGTTCAAGACCAAGTTCTTTACTTGGAGCACAACTAGGCATGACCTAATAGAGACAAGAGCCAAAGAAATCAAACAGAAAAAGAAATTATATTTTTATTGAGCAAGATATCCAAGGCATTGCATTTGACAAGACACAATGAAAAGATCCATTTAAATTAGTGTTAATTTTTCCAAGGATTTACACTTTATGGTCAGAGTACTATAGTCACTAATATTTTAGTTTCTTTCTAAGGTGAATTAGTAATATTGTTGTCAATTATAGTCACTAATATTTTAGTTTCTTTCTAAGGTTTTAAGTAATATTGTTGTCAAAACGTTTTGGATTCTTGCCCTCATCCCTACACATGGTTGACTTCTAAAACTGATAAGCATGCGCTTAAGAATTAAAAAAAAAAAACACTAAAAAGAGAAACCACATTTTCTCCCCAGATGTTTATTTCTATTGGCATTCCTTTAATTTTTTATAGGACAATAAGTATGGCCCCTAAAATCTTATGCCATTAAATATTTACTAGGCTGCTTCCTCCCATCTGGTATTCTCCAGATGTGCTTGATTATATTCCCCCAGCCATTTGAATGACACTGAGTAAAGAAAGGCTGGGATAGATTAGCACTCAGTAGGCAACAATACACTTCTTGTTTCTCAGCTACACACACACGCACACACAAATAGATTGAGAACAGATTTCAACAACAATGACTTATTACTAATATCTTTACATGAAACTACTGGGGAAACTCATCCAGAGTTTTGGAATTAGATATCATTAGCATGTTGAGGAAACCCTGCTCTACTGCACCCAATTTTCAAGGAAGGAATCAATACCCCTAGATGTTACTTAACCTCGATAATAGGCTGGATGAAAGAAAACAAGTTGAAATTAAATCTAGACAAGTCAGAGCTGCTGTTGGTATGGAAAAAGCTGGCCTCTGGGATTGGAGTGAAACTTGCTCTGCACAGGGTTGCAGTCCCCAGAAGCAGCAGATTGGAAGTGCCCTTTGATCCCCAACTGTCATTGGACTTGCAGGTAGCAGCCTTGGCAAGGAGAATGTTTGCACAATTACAAGGTTGAACATCAACTGCTGCTCTTCCTGAGCCAGCTGGACTGTGGAGAAGTTACAATCTGTCTTGACTACTGGAATGTGCTGCATGTGAGGCTACCCTTGAAAAAGTCTAGAAATTGCAAATACTACAAAATAGGGCAGCTAGGCTGCTGACCAGTTTAACATATAGAAATCATATGATTCCTGTAATGAGAGATCAACAGTTGCTGATGACTTCTGGGAATAATTCAAGGGGTGGCACAGACTCAAAAAAGCCCTGCACAGCTTAGGGCTTGACAATCTGTGGGACTGCCGCTCTTGCTATGAACCAGACTGACTACTCAGATGAGCAGGAAAAGCTGTTCTGAAGATACCCTGTTGTCAAAAGTTCGACCATCTGGAACATGAAAAGTGCCTTCTCCCGCATGGCTCCAGAGTTTTATGCACTGCTTCCCTTGTGTTGTTGAAAAGTTAATTCAAGCAAGTAAATTCTCTTAGTGTTGTAATTACATTTGATTATAAGGAGGGGAGAGAAAATGATAAAAAGCAAAAATCCAAGCAAACAACCAGTATCAGAATATCTTTTTTAAAAAATGCGTGTACACTCTCCACTTATTGCAAAGAAACAGTTTCAAGACTTGAAAAACGACCATATACACCATTCTGATTAGCAACATTATGTACAGTAGAGTTGCTGCAATTAAGCTGTAATGATCAATACTTAAAAATGTGATAAATACTGATTGACTTAATATTTACACCCTGCTTTTCAGCCCCTTGGTCTCAGGGCAGCGCACAGCATCCATACTACAGTAATCCAGGACTGGATAATAACCAAAGGCTTTCCAGGTGTTGTTAGGCTGCAATTCCCACCATCTCTCACCGCTGGCCATAATGCCAAGTGCTGCTGAACACTAGAGCTCAACAACAATGAAGTAGGTTATATGCTGTCATGCTTACACAGGTGCATTCAAATCAATGGGACAGGTTAGTCATGATTACCTTAAACCTCTCTGATTTCAGTGGGTCTTTTTTTAAGCGTGACTAAGTCTGGTTCCAATGTAGTAGTAGTAGTAGTAGTAGTAGTAGTAGTAATAATAATAATAACAGCCGCCTAAAAACAAGCTGGAATCTAGATCAAATATTCAAAAACTAAAAAAAAAATCACGGAAGGCGTGGTGAGAGAGGTAGAACAAAATGCTTCCTTTAAAGTACCAATTTGAAGCACTACTAAAGAAGGGGTCAGACAGACCACTTGGAGCAGGGAATTCCATAACCAGGCGTCACAAGTGAGAAGTGGTGTTCCCCATCTGCACCACACAGGGGCACAATGCAGAGTTCCTGAGGAGGACTGCAAGGGACAGTCTCACGTGGCAATCATTTGAAGTTTACAGCCAATAAGCAAAACTTTGGATGGTGCTCAGAAGCAAGTTGCTAACCAGTGTCAATTGAACAAAATTGGAGCTATATACTAATTTAAACCAAGCATACTTCAAGTTGAATTTGTAATCTTGATGCGTTCTGTATCCACTAAATTTTGCAAACCATTTTCAGAGGCAACCTTATATAGAAAGTATTAGAGAAATCTAACCTAGAGATCGTACATAACAAGGATGATTTTCTCGATTTACTACATTTTGAAATTCCAAAGTTGTCTCCATGCATAGTCTAGAATTTGTGGAGGAATACGAACTGCCTTGTGGCCCCAACCTCTATGTCACATCTTTATTCCAGCATCCCATGTGATATAGATATACCCCTTTCGTTTGTAGAAATGTAGGATTTCCTTTTCAAATCTAAGCACAGCAAACTCCCAAGCCAAAAGGGAACAAAGCATTAAGGATGTGGTCAGCAGTGGGGTCCAACTTCCCACCTTCTCCTTATGCACTGATGAGACTTTGGAAAGAGCGCTATATATTTTGCCCAAGCTAAGAATCTATATCAACACATTAATGAGAATTTTTAAAGCATTTTCCTGTAGTTAGTGACCAATAAATCTTTTACATTTAAAACTACAATATTATTTTCTCATAAAATTGAAAAATTGATATTAAAGTACATTAAGTATAGGCTTTCTGGCATTTTTATATTGTAGCCTTGATCCCTGACCTCGATCCTCCTGTTCCATCCACTGCTCTTGGTAGTCACCCTTCTTTTTGCTACACATCTTATTTCAAAATTCTAAAATAAGTCCATCTAGACACATGGATGATGACGCAGATTGTCCTCCAAAAGCTACAGTTTAGAGAGCAAAGATGATGCTAATATTAATAGCCTCTACAGAATTGTCTTTAGAAATTAAATTTTCTGCCCCATATGGATTCTCTGGTGTGAAATAAGGTGCGATTTCTGATTGAAATTTTTCCCACAGTTGGGACATTTATAAGGTTTCTCTCCAGTATGAAGCCGTTGATGTATAACAAGCCCAGAATTGAAGCTAAAGCTCTTCCCACAATCCTGGCACGTATATGGCTTCTGCCCTGTGTGAATGCCTTGATGCGAAATAAGATGCGATCTCTGATTGAAGCTCTTTCCACAGTCAGAACATTTATATGGTTTCTCCCCAGTGTGGATTCGTTGATGTATTACGAGACCAGAGTTGTAACTGAAGCTTTTCCCACAGTCAGGGCATTTAAAGGATTTCTCTCCCATATGGGTCCTCTGATGTGAAAGGAGATGAGATTTTTGACTGAAGCTTTTCTCACAGTTGGAGCATTTATATGGTTTCTCCCCAGTGTGAATTCGCTGGTGTATTATGAGCCCGGAGTTATAACTGAAGCTCTTCCCACAGTCAAAGCATTTAAATGGCTTCTCGCCTGTGTGGGTCCCATGGTGAGAGGTCAGATGTGATCGCTGGTTGAAGCTCTTCTCACAATCAGGGCATTTATACGGCTTCTCTCCTGTGTGGATTCTCTGATGGACCAGAAGACCTGAGTGATTGCGGAAAGTTTTTTCACAAATGATGCAGAGATACGGTTTCTCTGCTAAATGGACAATCTGAGGTCTATTAATGTCTACACTCTGGCAGAAGCTATTTTCCTGCTTGCTAGGTGTGATTTTACTTTCTCCAATGTGGATCAGTTGCTGGATTACTATTTGGTCAAGACTTTTTAAACTCTCCTCCTTGCACTGGCCAGCTTTGACTTGCGTTTTATCAGAAGCAACTTTCTCTCTCCTCTCTGGCAGCAAATGGTAGTGACTTCCAGTCCCCCTTTCCTGCTTACATCTTTGAGGGGTGCTCTCCTTAGATCCTCCTCTAAAGATCACCTGCCTTTCTACACGCTCTGGCTCTTCTTTTATGGACATCTGCTTCTCAGTCTTGGTTGCCATCCCATCACCTGTCGAAGTAAACCATATTTTAAACAAAAAAGAGGGTTTTCATTCTTTTCCACCCATAAAGTTAAACAACAAGGGGCAAAAAGAAGAAGTATGAATAAATAAAGGGGAAAGAAGGAGGAAAGGAGGGTGAACAGAATAAATAGTTCCGGAGGAAGTAATGGCGGACTGAAGATGGCTCTTCGAACTTCTCTGGACAAAGTGCTCCAGACAGTTGCTCCTTGCAAGGAGACTGCAAAGTCTCCGGTGGGTTTTGAGCACTGGGAGGTGAGGGAATAGCCATCTTGCTTAAATCGCAATCAGCGCCTTTAAAATGACACTAAGTTTGCATACTTCCTTTTCTAATCACATTCAGAAATTGCTTATTAACTATTTTTCACCTTGGAAAACTTTGGATCAACAAGTCCAAAAACACCAGGTGAGTCTGCCTTCAATCCTTAATGAAAGAAAATTTTAACTACAAGTTTAAGAACTTAACAATTTTGAATAAATAGCAAAAAGCTAATTAAGACTTTAATTTTTAGAAAGTTATAAACAGATTAAGGGTCCAGATAAATTTGAAATAAGATTTTGGAATTAATTATAAAGAATCCTTCCTGTGGGAAAGTATTTTTCTAAGACATAAAAAATTAAACAATTTTCAAAATTGGACACTAGAGGGAACTAAGGATTTTAATTAAAGGAGAAGAACATATAAACCTGATTAACAGCTGCAGAATGATGCAGAACATTATAACATTGAACATACTAATGGATACTTTTGAAAAATGGAATCAGAAGTTAACATCAACAATGTCAATAGCGATGTTTGCTGCTATGGACAGACTGTGTCCAAAAGATGTTTTGGAAGAAATGGCAGAAGAGGAACAAGGTTTATCTGACAAGAGAGACAGAGTTGACACTGAAAGTGGATCTACAAATGACAGGCTACAAGAATGACATGAAAGAGAGAGAGAGAGAGAGAGAGAGAGAGAGAGAATCCATTAAAGGTTTCAAATGACATTACCAAGAATCTTGGTAATGGATCTAACCAAGAATAACCTCCAAAATTATATTACAGCAAAAATAATATCAGTTAGTAGAAATTTCAAATGCATAATTATAAGTTGAGGAAAATAAATCTGAGGTATGGAAAGACAACATTATCCTTCCATTTTACTCCATTGATCTGTGCTGAAGAATGATTAGACAAAGAGTTTGTATTTTTTTTTTTTTTTAAATAAACAAAATAATAAATACTCTGTTAGAAAATGTTTTGCTTATGTAAGATTTCAGATTCAGAAACTGGCACTTCTGGTTAAGCAGCATCTTATAAACACACTACACATACTTTCATACCCCAGGTATCAAATTTAAAATAATCCATGGGGAGTGGAAGTAAATTTTACTGGGGTTGCAATGCTGTGGTGTTGTGACTGTAGGTAATTTCCCATTTAGTTGGTACTCAGCACACTCCCACACCCCTACATCCACATCCAAGCAAGCATGCACGCCACTCAGTACGGCTAGAAAAAATGTTAACTTGACATTATTAAACACCAGCAAGTATCACACACAGTTAACTGGTAAAACCAGGACAAAAGACAGGCAAATGCAGGGAGAGAGACACTAACAAGGATTTACGTTATCTAGATGTTTCTAGCTATATATCAAAAGGACACAGTCACTGGAAACTATACTGTGGGTAATTAGCACAGACAGTCCCCAAGGGACTGGCCTTTGCTTATTCCAGCTTTAACTCTTTTAAGTACATAATAGGAACTGACTAGAAATGGAAGGTAGGACACCAGGTGATCCAGCCTCAATTCTGCACCACAAAAGAAACAATTTGATGATGCATCTAACATGTGGAAGGACAGTTGAAATTCTCTCCCCATCCACACTATTTTCCTCTGAACAATCATTCTTTGAGGCCCAGTATGAAAATTGCCTCTGAAAAGCCCATAAGCAACGCTTCAAAGCAGCAGCTGTTTCCTGCCACGGTGCTCTACAAATTAATATTCAGTGGTACAATGTCACTGAACAAAAGTAACAGCCTTCTTGGCAAAATCAGGCATCACTACACTGGAGCTTAATTCACATTTATTTGTGATAAAAACATAACACAAGGAATCATATAAATCTCCCAGCCCTTTAGCAACGGCTCAGCAGCAGTTTGCAACTGAGTGTCTCTAGCACGTATCTGCTATACCTTTGGAGATAAACTGATTCACACGCACCTAATAGTAGAATAACACCCAGAAAGATAGTATCATTGGTTAGGTTTATTGCCAAGGAGGTAAGAGGTTAATATGCCACCTTGGAAACTGAGTGAGCCAAACTCTAGCACTCATTTATTAATGAATTCTTTAGGGTGGGAGAATCCAAGAACTGTTTGAACCTCTTGTTCCTTGAATGTCCAAGAAATTGACATTATGGTATAACTCAAATTTGAAAATAAGAGGGAAGATGTTGTGGTGGAATGCTTGGGTTAAACAAAGGATTAATACTTTAAATCAGTTGATTTCTAGTGGTTGTTTTAACTATTTTGAGAAATTGCCTTTTGAGATTGACCTACCTGCCTACCTGCAATACGGTATATAGAATTGAAACCTATGTTAACCAAACAGTTTGGCCCAAATTCTTTAGCAACCTTTAGAGGTACCAGTAATTTTAACTTCCTTATGAAATGCAGTGTTTGGACCCAAAAAGTGAAATGAAAGTCAGTATTAATTATATTTTTGAAGCCTGGAATGAAAAATTGAAATATCCAGTTTTGGAGAATCAATCGGTTCAGGTATTAACAAATGCAAAATATACATCTTATGATTTATAAATAAAACATATTCACAGGAAAATATTATTTTGGGTTTACTGGACCCCTCAAAGAATGTTTAAAAACGGACAGGGCAAACGAGTAGGGCAAAGAGGATAATTTTATGAAATTGGATAGAAACCTACATTCCTGATTTTAAGGAAGAGATTCAGAATATGAGTTATCTGTTTTTGAAAAGTCTCTGTGTTCTAAGAATAAGATGACCATATGTTGTGAAATGGTCTATATTTAGTGATATGCTTAACAGCTGGATTAATTTTCTATGGTTATTTATAACTATTATATGGATTTTTTTCTGTTAGTTTTTTCTTCTTTTTTGCACATTTAGTTTATTTTAATCACTATAATAAATTTATCTTTTTTTTTCACTGCATAAACACTAAAGCTTTGGGGGGGGGGTGTTATGTAGACTTTTTAAACATGTCACCATTTCAAACCAATTTTAAAAAAGCTGATCCTGGAATATCCATCTCGTTTCTTTCCCAGCCTGAGATCTCACATCTCTTGCAGACCTGACGATAAAGAAGAAATGATTGTTTCATATTGCTTTGTCTCAAATTGTTTAAATACTGTATACTTCCCAGAGTCATAAATGAAGTTCAGCAGACTATAAATTAATTAAACACATAAATAAATGGTGATCCACGTGGGACTAGAGCCCACTACCTGAGCAATTCCATATATACTGAAAGTGCATTCATTCCAAATAGCTGATAGCGTAATCAAAATAATTCTGGATTATGTATTCAGAGATTATTTTCTCTATGAGAAAATTTACATAATCTAGAGCTTCTTTTCCTTGGAAAAGAAGGCAAGAGGAAATGTGATATATCTAACACCATGCCCAGGTAGATAAGTTTTAGACCATTTTGTACAATACTGGAATTCAAGATTATTCCATGAAGCTAACCAGTGGAAGAAATATTTTGCATACTTAAAGCATGTTACTCTCTGGAACAGAACCATTGTGCCCACCAACTGGCACTGCTAAAAAGACATTTTGCAAATTCAGGGAGGAGATCAACACAACCAGCACTGGAAGGGGGCAGGAGAGAGACTGCAAAAAGCCCGTGGACTTAACCCCACTTCTGCACTTCACCCCTGCAAATTTACACTGACCCAGAGAAAGCAAGATCTGTCAAATCGAGCTCAACTCCTGGCCGAGTTTTCTTACTAACCACAGGGAGGCATTTTGCTGGGCCTTTCCTAGGATGCTTTTCCATTTCCCCGTCTAGCCAACAGCCTTCGTATTTTCTGGAAGCATTACCCACGCCCGATCCAGACAAGGTCGGCCAAGGGCTGCCTGATGATGGGCCGAGTGAGGCACCCCTGATTGCCCGTCCATTGATAGCGAGCATCAGCCACGGGGAAGCTCCAGCAGTCAGGAGCCGCTCGGAGGCTTCTCTCAGTCCACCGGCTGGCCATTGTCTGGGCTGGAACGCCGGCCTGAACAGATTTTGCCCTCAGGGCTCTTTCACAACAAAATATTCCCGAGCAAACCCCCCCAACCTGACAAACCAAAAGAATGGCTCATCCTTCAGTTCGTACATTAAATAGGAACTCCGTACTTCAGTTTAATTCATTAATATTAATATCAATACATCTTAATTTTATAGAGCGCAGGTTCCAATCGCAGCTCGGCCCGAGCAGAGTGGCAACCTGAATAATATCGGATGCAAGTCCACCGTATAAAAGTGGTGTATAAAAGGTTTTCTGGGTGGACTGCGATAAGTATTTCTTTTCTATATTCCGCCCTAGAGTCTTTCTTTTACCTGACCCACTCTCAGTTTATTCGGAGTTATCGCTAAATTGATGATAGTCTTCACTCAGGTCGAGTGATGAAGTGCTGCTTCAATGTCCGCCGGGCCACCTATCCTGCTCCTATCTATCTCGCGGCGTTCACGATGGCGGCAAGTCTGTTTACTACAGGAAGTTCATCCTCCTGGCTCAGCTGAGCGAAATGGAAAAGGCCAGATACTTCCTAGGAAACAGTAAGCGGAGCCCTCTCCTGGCAAGATGGAAGAGGAGCTTCTTCTACGCCGAAAAACACTTATTTTAGGTGCCGCCCACGATAAGGTTTTTAACTTACCAACGCCTTTTTCTTCAAGGCTAGGTTTGCATGGAACTAATTTCATTATTTTTCTGAATGCAAAAATCATCTTGTTTCGCCAGCTCCAGGTTACAGTGATTGCTTTTTTATCTGCAGGGAGCTTTATTGCTACGTATTTACTGGCAGGATACTATTCAAAACATTATTCCCCCCATCACTACTCTAAAATTATGCTGAACATTCAGACATATGCATTATGTCACATTTGAATATAAGTACTATCTAGGATGCTAAATAATATAAAAATACAATATATTTAAAAATTGTAATTATATTATAATAAATATGTTATTATACTAATTAATATATTAAAATAAAAATATAATTATACATAATGTATAATTTATCTAATGTATATTATATATAAGTATTATCTAGGATGCTAAAATGTGGAAGTAGAATTATGAGGAAGTTTCCATGTACTGTGGTCAGAAGGAGCTATTTTTGGATGCTCCCTGGCGCTAAAACAAAAATCTCAGCATATCAGAGAAAGGCATCTTTAATTATGGATTTGTTTCTCACTTGCAGGTCAATCATAAAGATTCTTGATGATTGGTGCCTTGCGCTTATCATCCCTATATTATTGTGGGTCACAGTCAGCCAGATGTTTAGACTGGATTTGGCATTTTTATCCACCCATCGAGTCCTTCCCAAGGACCTGGGATGGACAGATGTTGTTGTTTGGTGGTGTTAGAGGTATCGTCACAGGATTTAAGCTGTTTCAAGTAAAGCTGCCTTTTGCAATTATTATTATTATTATTATTATTATTATTATTATTATATTTTTATCTTTTTAATATATAACTCAAGACAGCAAACATAACTAATACTCCTGCCTCCTATTTCCTCGCAACAACAACCCTCTGAGGTGGGTTGGGCTGAGAGAGTGACTGGCCCAAAGTCACCCAGCCAGCTTTCATGCCTAAGAGAGGCCTAGAACTCAGAGTCTCCCGATTTCGAGGCCAGCACCTTAATCACATAAAAAATATTAAAAAGGAGGCAAGGTAACATTCAAATTACCAGCCAATCAGATACATTAATGGAATCTGCAAACTTCATGCAGGCTACTCCTGTTGGAAGTTCTGAGATTGGCTGCCTAATCAAAACATTTTTGTGAACAGGGATGTTAATTTGTGGGTGACCCAATTTATAGTTGATCAATGTTTAATTTTGTACCATTTGGCTGAGTAATATAATGCTTCATATCAAGGAACATTTTTTTGCTGCTTTTGTTGATTTCAAAACAGCTTTTGACTCTACAGTATTCCAAGGGGGAAATTATGGAGGACATTGGAAGTTTCCACAATAGATCATCTTTTTTTACTCATTTGTGCCCTGTATGAAAATATCTGTCTGAGGATTTGTTGAACATCTTCAACTTTTCAAAAGGAGAGAGAGGGGGAGGGAAGGAGGGAGGGAGAGAGAGATGAATCAGGGCTACCTTTCCAGTTTAATTTTTATATTAATTTGTTGGTTCAAGCAGTCTCTGATCCTGTCTTCTATGCTCCAACAGTGGGTAGTAGACAGATTCCTATGTGTGTTGTGCTGTTGAAGAAGTGTTCAGTATTAATTATGCTAAGACCAAAGTCATGTTTTTTTCTAAGCGCTTAATGAAATGTAGCTGGCATGGACTTGAGAGAGAGCAGGTTAAAACGTACAGGTACCTGAGCAGTGTCTGCTAGTCTCAGGTTCCTGGGTGGCTGGGATCATGCATATTATACAGTTGCTGAGAGATGTGTAGCTGTGATTTTTAGGGTTTTTTGACCAATAGCTATGCTTGCTGGAACTGCTTGGGAGCTCAAGTTCACCAATATCCGGAGAGCCACAGATTCCCTATCCTTGTATCAAACCTCTGCAGTATTTTTCAACACAATGGGTTGCCAATCACAAACGGAAAGTCTGATTAGTTTTACTTAAAACCAATTCAAGACCCACCTTTGTTGAAGACTTAACAGTTAGGTCTTAGGTACAGTGCAATGAACTAGTATGCTAACTGACATTTGGATTTAGCAATCAGAAAAGATCAAATTCAGGACCTGGCAAACAAGTTGCAAAATCAGACAACTGCACACAGAACATCTCAGTGTGAATGGCAAGATATGTACTGTAGATAAAACCCTTCCCCAGTCAGGCGCAGTCTAAATATCTTAGATCACAACTTCCATTATTCCTCAGCCAGTGTCCTTACTGATGATTATTGAAGACCTAATCCAAACCATCTATAAAGTGCCAAGCTGGAGAAGGCTGAAGGCTAAGATCCCATATTCAGAATAATAATGAAAAATTGGGACGGACCTCCTGTCTTTTCTGATTGGTGATAACTCTTCTGCACGGGAAGAGAGAGAAATCCATGGCTGCCGCAATCCTTTGCTTTTCTTATCTGATGGACCGGCGCGTTGCCAGAAGTACTACTGCAGTCTGGATGAAAAACTGCAGAGGGGGTGGCACCCAAGATTCTTATTTTGATTATTACATTTTAGGCTCAGAAAAGAGAGCAAATGCATGTAAAAATACAAAACCAAAAAGATTAAGAAAATCAGGACAGATAGATCTCCTAACTGCATCCTGGGCCATTCTGAACGAATTGCTGGACTTAGGAGAGGTATCGTTGATATTAAATCAACAAAGATAGGCTAGCTAATATGCTTTCAAAGACTAGAATCTGCCTCATCAAATGTATGCAGTGCTATTCTCCATTGCAGATGTATGTATATATACTTATAAATACACAGACATAAACACCTAGACAGGAGGTAGAATTCTAATCAGTAAGGCAAGAGGGATGTAAAAAGCAGGGAAATAAGATAGGGACAATTCAGTTAATATATGCTGAATAAGTACAGAATGTATGAAAGCAAGTGCAATCCTGGATAACACCATCCTCATATCAATAATGAGTTAATTAATCTCAGTAGTGACATAAAAAAATTCTATAGTTTCTCCTCAGACAAAAATAAAATAAAACTGAATTTCCTAGAAAACTGTACTCCAGCAGTTTCAAAAGATTTCCTTGATTTTTTTTTTTTAGTCTTTAACGTGTTAATAAAACTCTTCCCTATTTCTGCTGCAGCAAAGTAAGAGTTAAAAAACAAGTGAAAATGCATGAAGTGGTGTATGGATACAGTGGAAGCAAGGTTGGCTTACAAAGATAGGAAGGTATGAAGAGGTATAATGAACATTGCTGATATAAATTAGGTTTAGTTAGCTTTTCTTTTCTCTCCCGCTTCTAATTTCTTTTGCTTACTATTTCTTACTCTTTATTTATATTTTGTCCTCAAACAGAAAAGCGCAGATAAGGAAATTGCATGATGAATATGTATCTCTGTATACAGTAAGCTATCAATCACCCTAGGAATTGTTGATAAATTGCCTAGTGCATGCAACCCATTAGAACCAGCGTGCCCATCGGAAATTATGAAAATATATTGTGGGCACTCCCAGGATGATTGCCTGAGAAGGTCACCAAGCAATTGTCATGGTAGATATGGCCCTTCATGGAATACCCATTTTCCAGAAGGACCACATTTCAACCCCCAACACATTTTATGGGACACCACAATTTAGCATTTTTGTCAAGAGGGGAGGGGGAGGGATTGAGCTCATTTCCAAACAAAACACGGGGTTGCAACCTCTCACCATATTTATTTTCTAAGGAAGCTCACACAGCCTGTATAAGATCCACAGGCATTCCGTCAAATAAGAATGTTACTAGAGGCTGGTGCTTTGCAACACATAAACTTTCCATTAGTTTCTTTTTAATTAAAATAATATTTGTTAAAAAAGTCAGGTGGGGCAGGGATCCTAAAAGTCCCAAGGGAAATGCAATTATGCTATCTTACTTTAAAAAAGAATGCTCTTGACACAGGTTGCTTACAATCTAAAATTAGATCAAACAATGTATGATGGCTTGGTTAGAGGAACAAAGAAGAATATAGCATCCAAAAATATACTGTATCTTAAGATTGGAACTCATAGACGATTTCCCAGTGTTCGGAATTTATATAGGTTTTTCTACAGTGTGGATCTTCTGATGCCTATTTAAATGTGATATCCACCTGAAGCTTTTCCCACACTCTGAGCATGAATAGTGTTTCTCTCCCGTATGTACCCTCTGGTGTGTAAGGAGACTCGCATTCACATGGAAGCTTTCCCCACAGTCAGGGCATTTATAAGGCTTCTCAGAGGTGTGTACTCTTTGGTGCCTGATAAGGACGGAGCTGTAACTAAAGTTTCTCCCACACTCAAGGCACTTATAAGGTTTCTCTTTTGTGTGTATTCGCTGATGGATAAGGAGGTTGGAGGTCCGATTGAAACATTTCCCACAGTCTGAACACCGGAAGGGTTTTTCACCTCCATGTTCAATCTGGTGCCTGATGAGATCAGAACTGTATCGGAAGTTTTTCCCACATTCCAAACACTTGTAATGTTTCTCCCCTGTATGAGTTCTCTGGTGGATAATCACGTGTGAAGAGTGATTGAAGCTTTTCCCACAAGTCAAACAAGTGTAGGGTCTTTCTCCTGTGTGGATTCTCTGGTGAGCAATGAGGTGTGAACTCTTGCTGAAGTTCTTCCCACACTCAGTGCACTTGTAGGGCTTCTCGCCTGTGTGGACTCTTTGATGGGCACTGAGAGCAGAGGTTCTGTTGAAGATCTTCCCACAGTCAGGACATGGATGCTGTTTCTTGGACATTCGCTTTCTTTGCCGAATTGACCATTCCTTGGAGCTTCCTTGAGACGCAATGGGCTTGATTCTTCTGGATCCAGAGTGTCTGGCTTTTTGTTTTCCTGTTCTCTTCTGGTTTTTAGAAGCTGCTTCTACCTGGGAATTATTCTTTTGGGGTATTCCTCCCATTCCCCTGTGTAGCTGTACCTGTTCTGGACTTTTTTCCTTGGAAGTGTCTTCCATTTTCTGTCCAGTGGCTGGAATAGAAGAGAAAATAAATAATTCTGAGAACATACCACAAACCTGGAAAAAGAGCAAATAATAAATGGCATTTAGGAAGTATCTTCCTGAACTTGGAGGACTATATGCTACATCCTAGCAGTGATTCTTTCAAGCTAACCTGTAAGGCGGGTCAATTTTATTGCCTCCACACCCTCCAGCTGAATCTGAAACACAGTACAAAATAAACTCATGAGCTAAATTCAATTCCTGATGACAACAGGGATGTTAGAAGTGATTTGCCATTGCCACTTTCTGCACAAAAAAAAAAGGGGGGGGGTTGCCTGGGGTTTGCCCCAGGCTTGCCTATAGCCTTAGGATTCCCTGGAAGTCTCCCAGCCAAATACTAACAGGTCAGACTCGATTTAAGTATTACCCAGAGTCAGATACATGGCAACTTCCAAGTTTATAATTTAACTAAGAGATGAACTTATGATGAGTGATTTACAGCCTTCTGACTTTAAATACAGTACTGCATTTTATTAGATCAACCATAACCAAGACATTCTTGTAGGAAATGGAAAGAGTGAAATCAAAGTGATCAATGACAATAAAACAAGCCCAATTTTTACTGATAGCTTTCCTCTACCCAACTGATTAGAATAAAGTGATATAGGCAGGACCCTTTGGTAAAGAAACAGGTATCATGCAGGGGAATGGAATTGAAATAACAACTTTAGATCTGAAAAAAAGTGTCAATTTAAAGATAAAGAGCAAAAGGGTTTTGCTAAATTATAATCCTGTGCAACCCCAACCAGCTCAGCCAATAATGGGAGACTCTGCATGTTGTAACTTAACAAGATTCCCCACTCTGGATTAAATTTGCACGTCCCATCACTTGAATGTTCATCCTGAATGTATTGCAGCTGAACAGTCATTTATTGTTATCGCTATACAACAAAAGTCAGAAATCTTTACTAACTGACCACCTCCACCTCCTCCTATCCTAAAAAATCAATGAGGGGTTTTGTACCAGATGTGTTTCAAAAGGCTTGTACCCTAACAACTGTAAAATAAAATTGGCTACGTGTTACAGTCCAGGCAAAATATAGTCTAGGCCAGTGTTTCTCAACCTTGGCAACTTTAAGATGTGTGGACTTCAACTCCCAGAATTCCCTAGCCAGCCATGCTGGTCTAGGCAATATGTGAGGGTGGATTCAGTGCCATCAATTTTTTCCCTACTTAAGTCGGTTGAAGTGCTCCCTTCACAGTGACTCTTCTGCTGTTAGTTCCCTGTGTAGTGAGATTGTTTTTGGGCCACAGATGCTCTTTAAGCCTGGGTCATCTGCCCTGTCCATACAAGACCATGCTTTTCTAACCTTGTTCTCCACTGATTTGCTAAATTCGTGGCTGGGAGTGCTGGGAATTCTACTCTTATAACACCTGGAAGCTGCTACATTGGGACAAACTGGAATACTCCATCATCCACAATTTTCAACCAGCTGGGATTTCCATGAAAATTGATACAGTTCCCCCAAAAGCTTGCTGTGGTAGGATATATAGAATCATCATACACAGAATGAGCTATAAGGGGCTGAAATGTGGCACTCAGCAAGAATAAAAGACAGTATCACAGGATGAACTGCACTACCTCCTACAGTTTGATCAACAGTAGACTAATAAGATGCATCTGACTGATCTCTCTCTCTCTCTCTCTCCCTCCCTCCCTCCCACCTTGGGCCAGTCTCCCTGTCTCAGCTGGAAGAAGGTGACTGCAAATCACTTCAGTATTACTGCCAAGAAAATAAGATGGTCATGTCCATGAACTCACCAAGAGTTCAGCCTGCATGCGACACAACATAGTAAGTAACATACAGAACCAGTTTGGTGTAGTGATTAAGGCACCCCAGGAGACCGTGAGTTCTAGTCCCGCTTTAGGAACGAAGCCAGGTGGGTGACCTTGGGCCAGTCCCTCTGTCTCAACCCTAGGAAGAAGAAGGAGGCAAGGGCAAACCACAGCTGAAAATCTTGCCAAGAAAACTTCAGGGACCAGTCCAGGCAGTCTGATCACTGACTCAAAGGCATTAAAAAAAAAAAAGTTACAGTACACTGGCAGGCAAAGTTTGTAACCAGAGACCCCTTTTAAATGGAAAGGTGAGAAATTACACTTGGAACCTTCTACTGTACATGCAAAAATCTTGTTCATGACTAATTATGATTCCAACTTCCCAATGCAAAATAATAATAATAAAATAAAATACCTGGATGGAATGACATCTGATGGACTATAGTCCACAAAACCATTTGTAATAAATTAGTCTTTAAGGTGTCACAAAGCTTGCTGTTATTTTGACAGAGTAACAATCCTCACATAATCCATCTAAGATAAGCTTTCATGCATAAAATCATGAGAATAAAAGGAAAGTGCTCTTCTATCAAGAAAATATGGCAACTGATTTATATCTCCTCCTCCCGATATAGATTAGTTGAATCATAATCGCTGCCCTCCCTCTCTCCAGTCAGCTTCCAGTATCTCAGAGATTTTGAACAAGTGTCCCTCCATGTATACCTTTGCTGCAATGTCCTCCCTCCGAGACCCCCACAGATTTAGCAAAAAAATTGCATCAGATCTGATGATCTACTCGTCTCTGATCAGAACAGAATAAAATATCTATTCATCTACGGGCGCCCTCCACATGTAACTCGGTGAAAACAGCTCCCTATCCTCTTTTCTCGTCCCTTCACACACCTATCCGCGTTAATTCTCCAGTTTAATTATCCTCCAAAAGCATTTCCCTTTTTCTTCTTCCCCAAAGGCTGTCCCTAAGTCACGGAGAACCACCCAGCGTTCGGCCAAGCCGGGCTTGCGAAGGAGCTCAGTCCCCACTTCGGTCGGACAAAGAGGAAGCTCGAGTAAGCCCAGCGTCTGCCGAAGAGAAACAGACCACCGCGGCGGCGTCGACGCGCCTCGCTCTGTCGCCGAGTCAGGATGTTCCTCAGCAGAGAGGAAGAGGGAACGACTTCCTCTTGGTTTTCCTAGCCGAAATCGAGAGGCCTCTGGCGGCCACCGCAGTTTTCAACATCGGAGGGTTTTATTTATTTTTGTTCTCTCTGGGCGTGGGGAGGGCAAGATTATGTTGACGAGGAAAAAAGCAAACAGCCGAGAGCGTCTTGCCACGTTAAAGGCAGAGAGATTGTGGAAAGTCCCGCTGAAGTTCGTACAGCTGAGATCCGTCAGATCGAAACCCCTCTCCTGATAGATCGGTGAGGAAGACACCGGCAAGGGCGTGATGAAGAGCAAGAAATGGAAGCGTTTATTCACGCCGGTTGCAGTACTTTGGCAGAACAGAATATTTTATTATTTGCTTTGTTAAAAATAAAAACAAAAAACCAACTGCCAAACACAGGATGTTGGAAAGTATTTATTTATTCATGTATTTTTAAAATTTTTTCCAAATGTCTCCTCAAGGCATTAACCCTTGTGTAAGTTTTCCTGTGTTATAAATGAAAATAAAAGCAAAGACATGAAAACAAATGCCTGTGAACGAATTGACTGGTATGCCCTCTGGCTGAGGTGATTTATAGGGCAAAACACCCCCATAAATTGCAAGGGGCAAAATTCTTAGACATGTAAAGGTAAATGTTCAATTACTTTATTTAATCTGCCTGGAAGGCAGGGTAAGACTATTTAGTAGTAGAATCCACTTGATTTCTTTTTCTGTCTCATTATTGTCCCCATGAAGATACTCTATGAATCTTTGAATTAAACATGTCTCTCTAAGAATTTTGCCCCTTTAACTCATAGAGCTTCACTGTACTTGGAATTCCTCCATCCTTTTTTCTCCATGTACTAAACCCTGATGTGGTTGGCTTTGGTTTAGAGTGTTTGTGAATCTATTTATTGTGGTTTATCAAACTAACCATGACTTACCACAGTATTGAATCCAGCTTTCATCTCTTGATCTCAGACATACTTGAAGTTCAGTGGGAATTCAAGTACCCAAATTGCATGGTGAGCTCTGTGTGGACTGAGCAATACTAATGCAGGATAGAACACTTGGGGCCTTAAGGGTATGAAAAGCTAGTAGTACCAGTCAGAAGCCTTTGGGCAATTATTTCATCTTTGTGCATTATTCTGCCTCTTCCTACTTAACCAATTTGAATGATAAGGAAAAAATGAAAGAGTTGGTGAGAAAACACAGAGAATTACAAAAGTAAAACACCCAATTGGACTGCTAGAGGGGAGGAATAGTTAGATGGAACCTCTGTGGTCACAGCCAGTGTATTTCTAAGCAGGAAATTTGGAGAAAAATAATAGGAAAGGGTTGCCTTCACCAGTCTTTGTTGGACAACTAGAAGCTGAGCTAAATAGACCTTTAGTCTGACCTATCAAGATTGCTCATATATTGCAGTATTAAGTAAAAATGATCTGGCTATTGTAGAGAATCTGGCTAGATGTCTCCCACCAATCATGGACAATCTTTTTTTGCTGGCCAAGGTTGGCAGAGAGCATAGCAATTATTTGATGATATCACCAAGGGGCCAAAAACTGGAATCTTAAGATATTGGGAGAAGCGTTAACAACAGAAGCATTAAGCTGGATCTTAACACATTTCCTGGGTCAAATCCACAGCCCAGTCTTGCCCATCACTATTCCACATAGCAGCTTCTGTCCTGGAACTCCAATGCAATTTAAAGATATATAAATAGCTATACCCATAATTATTCCAGTTACAGAATCACATATATTTCTGTTTGTTTTAATACAGAATTCTACACAAGTTCCCCCAACTTACTTACTGTAACAATCTGCCACCTGCTGCTCCCAAGTCCAGTAACTTTCCTTGCAACCAATGTTGATTCAAAAGAAAGTTCATTTATTGAGAACAAGTGTACAGTTCCAAAGCATTGCTAAGACTTGTTGATTCAAAAGAAAGTTCATTTATTGAGAACAAGTGTACAGTTCCAAAGCATTGCTAAGACTTGTTGATTCAAAAGAAAGTTCATTTATTGAGAACAAGTGTACAGTTCCAAAGCATTGCTAAGACTAAGCCTGTGTGCGCCAAAAGTAGTTTTTTTTTTTACTTTTTCCCTCCTTCACCCCCCTTGCCTCCTTAGTCTCCTGATTCTCCCGCTGGTACGGCCTTGAGCATTCCAGCGCCTGTGATAAGGAGCCATCTGCCTCTAACGGTGTTCCATCTATCCCCCCCGGCCCCCCCCCCCCACCTTTTACAATGGCAGAACTGCAGCATGTAAAAAGCAAATACCAAACTAGCCAACACTAAAATCTACTATTAAATCTTGTGAGGATTCTGACATGCCGCCCCTCCACAAATGAGGATGTCAGTCAGATGAATCATAGTCTTCACTCTGCAAGAAAAAAAAACAAAAAGAAAAACAAAACATGGTATAATAACCCACTTACTTACGGGATTCACTTTCTATAGAAAAAGTAAGGCAACTTCCTTGCAATAGAGTGTGTTGGGCCCAGCCAATCGACCCTAATTACCAGGTTCGGGACTTGGTGCGAGGTGAACAAAACACCAAGACGA